AGCTTCCATCCAGAGGGCCTTCGGAGTGGTGAGTTGATTCGGGCCCGCGTCAGGGGCCCGGCGAGGGGGAGCTAGGACTTTCCCCGACCCCATAGACTCCCAGGTCAGCCTGCTCTGCTGTTTCCACCCTGCTAGGCTCTCCCACCTGCCATCCCAGCTTCCATCCAGGTACAAATTTCTATATTTCTCCCCTCCCACTGAGCCCATAAAATTTCCCCAGTTCAGCTGCCTTGCACACTGGGCCTGCTCTGTAGGGGCATCCCGGAAAGAGGCAGTGCCTGTGCTTCAATACCCTGCTTGGGGAAAGGTAGGCATTCTATCAGTGAACTCCCTGCCCAACAAGGGAACCTGACCCGATACCAGAAGTTCCAATAGAGAGCATTTGATCGAAGAGATGGGCAGACGCCAAGGCAAGACCTCCTCCAACAATCTGAAAAACAACATGAAAATATCAGATCCCAATGACCCTACAACAGAAGGATTTGAACACTCTAACCCAGATGAAGTGGAAAAAAGTGCCATTATGAAAGCAATAGAGTCCCTTAAACAGGATATGAATAACTCCCTTAAGGAACTGGTGGAGAAGTATAACAAAAAGTTTGAAGAAATGAGTATAGAAATGGATGAGAAATATAACAAAAAGTTTGAAGAAATAAGTAAATCCGTGAGTGATACCCTGAGAAACCAAGAAAAAACAATCAAACAAGTAAAGGAAACAGTCCAAGAATTGAAAACTGAAATGGAGGCAATGAAGAAAACACAAAACGAGAACCGGCTGGATATGGAAAACCTAGGTAAACGAGTGGAGACTACGGAATCAAGCATAACCAATAGAATACAAGAGATAGAAGAACGAATCTCAGATTCTGAAGATACCATAGAGAAAATAAATGCTCTGGTCAGAGAAAACGGCAAATCCAACAAATTCTCTTCACAAAACATTCAGGAAATCTGGGACACAATAAAAAAACCAAATCTAAGAATAATAGGGATTGAAGAAGGAGAAGAACTGCAGATCGAAGGCCCAGAAAATATATTCAACAAAATTATAGAAGAAAACTTTCCCAACCTAAAGAACGATATTCCTATGAAGGTTCAAGAAGCATACAGAACACCGAATAGATTGGATCAGAAAAAAACATCCCCGCGCCATATAATAATCAAAACACAAAACATAAATATTAAAGAAAAAATTTTAAGAGCTGCAAAGGAAAAAGGTCAAGTAACTTATAAAGGTAAACCTATCAGGCTTACACCGGATTTCTCTATGGAAACCATGAAAGCCAGAAGATCCTGGATAGAGGTACTGCAGAAACTAAGAAACCATGGATGCAAACCCAGACTACTATACCCAGCCAAGCTATTGTTCACTATCAACGGAGAAAACAAAATATTCCAGGATAAAAACAAATTTAAACAATACGTAGCTACTAATCCAGCCTTACAGAGAATATTAGAAGGAAAATCACTACCGAAGGAATCCAACATTCCCAACACGATCTACAATAACTCGAACATCTAGCGACCATTCACAAGCACAAATCAAAGAAGAAAAACACATACACTCTACTACCTAAAAAAAAAAAAAATGACCGGAGTCAACAACCACTGGTCATTAATATCACTTAATATCAATGGACTCAATTCACCTATAAAGAGGCACAGACTTAGAGATTGGATACGAAAACAGGATCCAACATTCTGCTGTTTACAAGAAACACACCTCAACCACAAAGACAGACACTTACTCAGAGTAAAGGGTTGGGAAAAGGTTTTCCAAGCAAATGGACCTAAGAAACAAGCGGGCGTGGCCATTCTAATATCTAACAAAATCGACTTCAAACTAAAATCAATCAGAAGAGATGGAGATGGACATTTCATACTCATAACTGGAACAATTCATCAGGAGGAAGTCTCAATCCTGAATATCTATGCTCCTAATATAAAGGCACCCACATATGTAAAAGAAACTCTTCTAGAACTCAAGGCGGTCATCAAACCACACACACTAATAGTAGGAGACTTCAACACTCCTCTCTCACCAATGGACAGGTCAATCAGACAGAAACCAAACAGAGAATTGAGAGACCTATTGGAGGTATTGAATCAAATGGACTTAACAGACATCTATAGAACACTCCACCCAAATAGGAAAGAATATACCTTTTTCTCTGCAGCTCATGGAACCTTCTC